TATAGAATGAAAATGTTTCCTCTAACTCTTACTGTTTCTGCTGCCATTTAACTGTAATTATATAGCTGCTTTTTTAGGATATTGATCCTGCACAGGTTTTAAGTCCAATCATAACCTCGATGGAACCTGGTGTAAGATTAATTGTTTAGCACTAAAAAATGTTCTAATTATAGGGAAGGGTTTTTGCAAGTCACGTATGCAATATCTCTTGAAATAAGCACATATTCCATATTCCAAAAATACTGTTACTTTTCTTTTCAGATCTATCTGCTCCTTCACCTAGCAAGGGAAACATAAATAATTCTGAGTGCAATATTAGTTTGCTCCCTCCAAAGTGCTGCATCCCTAATAGAGTGTAGCTTTTGTGACATAACTCACGGTGTACTACAAATGCCCCATCAATAGTGGATCGGCTCATTTCATTGTCCTTAGTGCATGGAATGATCATTTGCACTCTTGATAAAAGGCAGCATTTTTAGCAGATCAGCACTACTCCATTTAACTGAGAGCAATGATTTATCTAATCCCTACTGGTGGACAGTCTCCATTTGCTAGGATAATAAAGAGCTCCCACGCCGATGGAAAGAGTGGAAAATAATGTGTGTTTGTAGAAAGAAACACATTGAAACCCAAAAAAAAAAGAACACAGTTTGATTATTTTTAAAGTCAAGTTATAAATTGGAAACAAGTATCGCACTCAAACAATGAAAGTGTATTTATTTAATTAGAGAAAAAAACATAAAAATATAAGTTTGCACTTAAAAAAAAGAAATAAAAGGCGTTGTAAGTGCAATTATATAAATATGACACATTTACTGTATCAGTACAAATACCTTTCTAGCTGATCATATGTATGATTGCACTAGCAAGATAACCTGGTTCTGTAGGTAGGTATAGTTGGCAGTAATCATGCCTGGCACAGATAAGTCCCTTCAGCATGATTTGCCAGAAAGGTTTCTACATGAAGTGATGATTTTACTATAGAAATATCGACTTACAAATTATGAGATGTCGATGTTAATGAGATCACATTTATTATAGCCAGGGTTTCTATCACCTTAAGGACACAGCTTCAGAAATAAAAGGCAATTGTGACAGTAAACATCCGTCATGTGTCCTTAACCCCTTAAGGACCAAACTTCTGGAATAAAAGGGAATTATGACATGTCACGCATGTCATGTGTCCTTAAGGGATTAAGGGGCTATACTACTAGCCAAGCCTAAAATGTACTTGCTGCTACAAGCGTGGAAAGTCCACAAACACTCATCAGGGGTGAATGTCTACTTGCTAGGGCTGAATTTTTACTTGCCATCGGCTAGTGATAAGTGGACACTTTATAGCATTACTATAACAGGGCTCAATGTCACATTAAAAAGATGGAGGCAACAGTAACTCGTTGTTGATAATAATGGTTATCATTTCAGAGTGATGAACACTGCATGATGTGGTGCTGTAATTATGCAGGGTACTCCATAATATAGAAAAGAGTTGTTATAGTTATCTAAGGCTTATAGTGAAGGGAAATTTTATAAATTAGTTATATAATTCTCACGAATATACAACGCACTTTGTCGGTCATCAGGCCATTAAAGTAGAATGATAAAACAGTAAACACACTAGTGATACAGTGTATGCTGTACTTTGCATGTTGCATTATGACGGAAGATGCAATAAATGCATTCGTACATGTTGTGCATACGAATGGTGGATGCTTACAGATCACAGTCTATTCCAAATCTGTTGCAAACTCTATGCAACTCAATGGGCCCCACAGTAAATAACTCCTTCTTTTCATTGTAGTATTTTGTAGGCTACTTATGTGACCAATAAATGCCAAACTGTAAAACCGAGAACCTGTAAATGTTTATGTGAAAAATAACACAATGGGAAAACAATTTAAGTTGCTTTTTGTTTCTCACAATATTCTATTTCTTACCATAACTTTAAATCACCAGCCCAAGCACTAATACTCTGTTTCCTGGCATAGAGAAAGTATTTAGGAGTTTTACAAGGACTTGTTACAATAGATCAAGCATCTGACAGTTTTGTGGGTAGTGAAACTAAAACGATAAGATGACTCGACCACAAGTTTAATGTAAGACACTTCTAATAATAAATACATATTACAGACTACTTTAATTTTTAAGACAAGAGTATAGAAGAAAGTTTAAAATGATGTCTAGCAGCAGTAAAGGGATTTTTTTTTCAAATTAACGATGTTGCAAAGTAAATGTGAATATTTGAAATATGTTAGTGGAAGAATTGAAAAATAAAATGTATAGATAAAATGAATATTTGTGACATTAACGTGCATCAACATGTGCAAGCTGGCTTAAAATTAATACTTTGGTATATGCCTCTGCACAAAATAAAAAAAAGGTCAAAATTGATTTTAGAGTAGAAATACTTTCTTTACATAGATCATAAAATATATCCATACATTATGCCACCAAAAATGTAGCAAATGTTTTGAAGAAGGGGAGGGGGAAAGTGTGTTTGTGTGTCTTTGTGCTCCTTAAGATTTTATGGATTTTTTTTTTTACACACACACACACACACACACACACCTCTTAGGTTTGCCACCTGACTTGTATTTTAAAGCACAGACGGTATTTAAGGCTGCCTGGAAGTGACGTTATTGCAGTAATACCGGCAATACAATTGCAAATATTTTTCTCAGTATAAACGGAGATTACTCTGCAATACCAGCACCGGCCAGTAGGGATCACTGTGTATGGAGAGAGGAAGGGATAGGAAGTTACAGCATCTCCCTGCCTCTCTCTACTCACTGATCCGCGGGGGTGCAGCTACACAGCACAGAGAGTCCAGACAGCAGCTCCCAGCCTACAGACACAGACTACAGCTCAGGTAAGTGAAGGATGGAGGGAAAGGCAGCAGGGAGACATCGGGACGCTGAGAGACATAGGGAGACACATGTATCCAAAAATGCATTTATTCAGTGACTCAAAACTGAGTCTCCATCCTATTTTAGTGAGTCCATATTAGGGCATGGTCTGTGCCTCCACTTGGTGTAGACGATATTAAAGAACCACTCCAAACACCTAAAGCACTTCCGCTAATTGCAGTAGTCTATGTGTCAACTTTCTTCATTTTACAAAATGTGCAGAATTGAATAAAAATTTGCCCTTTTACAAAAGTAATATTTTTATAGACTGTTCTGTTACTTCTGTTACTTCCTGGTTTGGTTAGCTCAATAGAGCTAAACTCAGGAGACAGACAATGGTTCAGTCCACCTGACTTGCAAAGATTTCTCATTGAGCTGCCTTGGTAAGTTTGTGATTGGACCACCACAAAAAGTATGGGTGTTATTAGAAGGGGGGGGGGGGCTTGCAAAAGCTGTAGAAAAAGAGATATGCAGCTTTTCTAAAGTTGTTTTAGATATGCCCCCAATGAAATAAAATTCATAATTAAATACATGCATGTTTTTAATGGGGTATATCTACTAATCATTTTTTTTTTTTTTTTGCCTGTAAAGTGTCACTTTAATCACTCCTTCACAGTTCCAGAACCCAGTAAGGTAGTCAGAGCATAAATGCTGGGATTTCAAGCCAGCACTGGCTTTGTCACTGTGCACTGGAACAGAATAAGTGATTGATATGATCTACAACTATGCATCCCACCAACTAGACCACCAGGTCCTCAGGATCGTGGAGCATGCGCTGTGCTTGCTGTAATGTTCCTATGATTCTGCCATAGGGAACAGTATGCTAGGGCCGTGTTACCCAAACCAGTCCTCAAGACCCACTAACAGTCCAGGTTTTGTTAGTATCTCCATTGGAATAAAACAGGGAAATACATAAATCCTGGACTGTTGGTGGGCCATGAGGACTGGTTTGGGAACCACTGTGCTAGGGTATGAGAACCAGAAAGTAACTGTTCCGGCTCTCATGCCCAAATTAACATTTAGATGAAGTTCCTATAGTAAGTACAGTGTTCCTTTAACCCCTACTTTATCACAAGTGAGGATAAACCCCTACAGGACCACCCGGTACTTCTTTAACCCCCACTGCATCACAGGGGAAGACAGCCACCCCTCTGCAAATAAGGTAAGCAGGATAGGGGGTAAAATGTTTTTCTATTTTATTAATGCAGACAAATTAAAGAAACACCACATATATAAATTTAAAAAACACCACATATATCCCATATCACACAAAACCTTTCCTCAATTTTCATGTTTAAATGCAGTGCTGGTACTTTGAGATAAATACATTGGTTTCGAGTTGCAGGTTTGGCACTCGGGCTCAAAAAGATTAGCTGTCGCTGTTCTACACAAAATGTATTTTCACTATATAGTCTAGTAAATATTATTATACAGGTGTGGGATATGCCATTGAATAAATTTTTCCTGTAAAACAATGAGTCAAAAAAAGTAATACATAAGACTAATTTACATAAAGTGGGTCCCTTCCAAAAATTGGGTTAAAACCACTGTGTTAATTGGAACTTATTGATTATAACATAGGAGTTCTGCAATTCAGGTACATTACACAATCTGTTGAGTATTATTTTTTATAAATAATTTATAGTTAAATTTATAGAATAATAACTATACATGTCAAGAAAAAATAAACATGTCATCCTCAGCAATCAACAAGGAAGCAGAGATACCTTTATACAAACACATTGCAGGAAATAATACTATTATTACATTTTTGGTATCCTCAGGTTTTTTTTTAAATTAGGGCTTAATCACTAACACTGCAAGAGTTAAATGAGCAAGTTGTTTCTGCGCTCACCACAGTAAACTGTTTGGAAGGAGGAAACCTTGGTGGCATGGTCCCCAGTGTAGAAAGTTGGGACCAGGTTCATTTAGAAAAGTGCCTTTTTATATTGAAATCTGTAGATTTTGCAAAATGAAAAAAGTAGGACACACTTTATGGGTCTAGAGCAGGGATAGCCAATAGTGATGTCCCGAACGGTTGGCCGAACGGTTCGCCGCAGATGGCGAACATATGACCCTGTACCTCACAGTCAGCAGACACGTTCCAGCCAATCAGCAGCAGACCCTCCCTCCCAGACCCTCCCACCTCCTGGACAGCTCACTAAGAATGCAGCTTCAAAATGGATGCTGTCCAGTAGGTGGGAGGGTCTGGGAGGGAGGGTCTGCTGCTGATTGGCTGGAATGTGTCTGCTGAATGTGAGGTACAGGGTCATATGTTCGCCATCCACGGCGAACCATTCAGCGAACCGTTCGGGACATCACTAATAGCCAACCTTCGACACTTCAGATGTTGTGGACTACATCCCCCATAATGCTCTTACACCTATAATGCTGGCAAAGCATTATGGGAGCTGTAGTCCAAAACTGAGATGGCGAAGGTTGCCTATGCCTGGTCTAGAGCGTCCCTTTAAGAATCAGTGACTTAAATAATATATTATATATCATGTTATATTATGTTGAGGTATTATTCACTAAAATTAAAATTGTCAGAAATTCAAAGTGAATATAATATTAAATTTAAGACCAAAACAGCTGAACTGGGAACATGGGATACATTTTTCCAGTTAGACTATTTTGGCCTTACTTTTAATTCCCAACAATTATTAGTATAGTGAATAACCCTCTGTTTCTCTTTGCAGCAGTATTTCCACTAACTGGGGAATTTTAGCTCAGATCTCTGTATCAATGTAACAAACCTAAATTAGTCTGGCTGCGTCTACAGCCTAAGTGACATGTGAACAATCCTATATTCAACAGTTAATGACCTTATGTTGCTTGGTTCTGGAAGTCAACTGGGAATAAACTAATTGGTGTAGTCGCATAGTCTGAGATATCTTATTGTGTCATTGTTTGTTACACATAATTACTGTAGCCAAATAAAATATATTTTTTTTTTAACATGTCAACTTTTTTTTTAACACACATGGTCAATGATAGTCCCTAGATGATCTATTACAATGAAAAGGTTGTCATTTTTTTCGTCATCGTCAATGCATGTTTGAGAGATATCTTTGTTTCTAAACTGATTAATTCACTATGGGTGGAACACATTCTCATAAAAATTTATTTATTTAGTATTGTTTTGGGCATTGGAAAAAAACAATATTTTATGAGGATTATGGTTTTGTGTTATTTTTGTTGTAGTGTATCATTCATTGAGCTAGACATTTCATAATATTGTCATTGTATAAATTAGTAAAATGCAGTACAAATTAGGAAAATTGGGTGCACTTCTTGGGGATGTTTCACTTAAAGAATCACTGTATTTTCTTAATCAAATTAAACTGGTTATTGTGTATCCAACTCGCAGTCCACTGTTGCCATCATTTCATTCAGCATTAAACACGTTTTAATGTTTTTACGTGTAAGTACTAAACAAGAGTCCCCAGCGTGCCATCCCCTCTGTGCTGCTTTGCCAAATGATGAATTATTAGCCTGAGTAGCAGTTAGAAATTGTGATTGGCTGAGAGTGTCAGCTGACTGCTTTTAGCCTATCAGAACATCCATTGACAGTATGAATAGGTATGACTACAAGGAAGTGTTTAATCTCTGCTTTAGCCACATCTCCAGAAGGGGCCGAACTGTAGGTGGCCTGACACCCTTATTTAGTGTTAAACTGCATGAACATTGTTTAACAATGGAGAGACAGGGAACTCCAGGCCCTATAATCAATTCAAAGCGATGAAATTGTTATAATGACTACAGTGTCCCTTTAAGTAGGAATTGTGGAGAACTGAAAAGGACATTGCAATTTTTAGGCCATCGAGGAGAGATCTATAAAGACAGCCAGTAATCTATTTGGCCTAAAATTTGCAGTTCCAAGCAAACAGTTTTAAATAAATGAAATTAAAAATAAAAAAAGATTGCAAAAATAAATATATATAAATATTTGTGTGTGTGTTTTAAGTGCTAATTAAACCCCCTCTCTGCAGCTTTGATCTGTCTCCTGTTAAGTCATCATTACTTTAACTTATGTCCAATCAGATCTTGTAGAAGCATTGGGACCTTTGGTTTTTGTATGAGAAGAACTAAAGTTTCAAGCAAGAGAGGCAGGACACCTCCTGGGTGTTTGCCCGACAGTCAGATGGTGTTACTCATGGGATTTATACAAGTGCTCATTTTTTAATATGTTTGTAAAATAAGCCTGCAGAGACACACCGTTAACCCAACTCAACAAGCTAAAGTGCTCTAGGAGACAAGTGGGTGCTCCAGAATATCTTGAATAAATGTGAATTAGCTGCCGATTCATTTTAATGGTCATCACTGACCAATAAGAGATACCTGGCACTTAATTTCTGCTTGATAAAAAGCCAGGTTATGAAATTTTCAGGAAATGAGCAGACACTTCTATAACAGTGTTACATTAATCATGCCATAAAATATTTTATTGATTTTAAAATAAAATATTAGGAGATAGGAAGACTGGACCGGAATAGCCTAGAAGGGGACCAATAAGAGGTGGCTGTTCTTTTAATTCAAATACTGCCAGAATACAATGTACATATAGGCATCAACACTTTAAAAGGCTATTCTTAGAGAATACTGACATAGACCTTCAGCAGGAGTTAAGAACATAGTGAAATAGCTCTTAATTCTCCCTGCCATGCAGTATTATGTCTGGTTAATATAACTATCTCCTGCGGGACCTCCTCAAATCCTCAAAACACGCAGCATATCATACAAAGGAGAAAAGATCATAAACCATGTAATGAAAATGAAAAATAGCAAGAAAAAATAATCAAAGGGTATTATGTTTCTCTATTTGCAATGATTATTCCTGCTTTAAGTACACTCACAAAATAAATCCATACATACGGATATCGCCAAATCTGGTTCATCCCTAAAGACAGAAAGATTGGCTTTTCACAGTATAACAATCATTTGATTTCAAAACGAGAACAAAAGAGCAATGGATAATGTAGACTGAGTGTTATCCAAACTTTTTTATTAGAAAAACTATTTTCAAACATGTTTAACACCAGTTTGATATTGCAAATATACACACAATGTCCATGTAATGATGATCTTTACCTGTACATCTGTTGAGAGTCCTTTCTCCAGAAGCTATACACAGAAAAAAAGCATGTGATGTTCGAATAGGGTCCCTGTTCAGGACTGTCTCATCAATTGCAGGACTGTTGGTAGGCATCTACCATCTTCAAGTACATGTATTACCCCTTCCCTCTTTATTGTAAATGGTTTTATGTAACAAAAACAGTTCAGCATGCCTCTCAACGGCGCTGCAACATGGCTGTATGGTGATATAATCTTGAACTGAAATCCCTATACTGGTGTATTTTTTATGTATTCTGCTTCTGGATACAAAAAAAGTAAAAAAAAGAGCAGCACGGAACCAACACCTTATTAAAGGTCATTTACTGGGTATGTCTGTCAAAGTAAGAGCACTTCAGTAGTACTCTGTAAACACACAGAACTTGACAGCTGCAGTGCATCAGCAGTGGCATGTTTTGTGGCACTAGCAAGCCTTCTCCAATACCACCCCATCGTTGTCCCCCTACTGCTTCATTAAGTATGTCTGTGGGGTGGTATCCATCTCTCAGCAAGACCTTGGAGATGTGAGCCATGCTGGCTCTGCCCCTGATCTGCATGTATAGAACCATGATCACACTAAACAATTTTAATGCTAATCATAGAGAAGCATTGGATTAAGGTCTTCTCTAAGAATAGCATCCGACTGGTGGAGTGTGGTATTTTCTGTGCATGTACCCTCTGCCCCTAGTGTTTCACTATGAGAAGCATTGGATTGCATTAAAGGGACACTAATAGTCACCAGTGCAACTACATGTATTCCTGACCCTATAGTGTTAACACAACCATCTAGCCCACCATGCCTCCATAAATATAGTAAAACATCTTACTGTATTCAAGCCAGAAGCTGTAAATCTGCATGCTGTTAGACTCAGGAAAAACAAGCAGTCTGCTGACATGTGATACCCTGATCCAATCACAATTCTTCCCCATAGGATTGACTGAGACTGACAAGGAGGCAGACCAGGGACAGAGCCAGCATGATTCAAACACAGCCCTGGCCGATCAGCATCTCCTCATAGAGATGAATTGAATCAATGAATCTCTATGAGGAAAGTTCAGTGTCTGCATGCAGAGGGAGGAGATACTGAATCACAGGATGTCCGTGCACAGCAGATCTGAGTGGATGGAGGCATGTTATGCCTCCATCAACTCAGAAGTACCTCTGGTTCTGGATGACTGCAACTGGAGGTGTTCCTAGCTTTCAATGTAAACACTGTATTTTCTCAGAAAATACAGTGTTTACATGAGAAAGGCTGCAGGGAGCTATAGTTCTCACCTGAACAACTTCATTAAGCTGAAATTGTTCAGGTGACTATAGTATCCCTTTAAAGTCACCATTACTGATGCAAACCTTCTCATGCAGGAGATAGATAACACATTATTAAAATTGCAAACATTTACTTTTCTTTTCATAATTTAAGTTATATGGGGCAGGACATGTAAATGATTGGTGTGTCTTATAGAAAGCTGTGAAGGAACTTGTACACGTAAAGACATTGGATACACTGCACAGGGATAAGGTACACTGCTTTCAGGACTGGTCTCATAACCACTATTACTTTTGAATGAAGTATAGGTTATTATTCTTCTTGTAATGTCCCTTTAAAAATAATACATTGTCTGCAATGCTGTACAGTAAACACAGCACATACATAAAATATGTACTCTTTTTTGTCTTATGTTGACATAATTATGATGAGCTTTGTCTTCTCCAATGTTTGCATTTTTGTAAATATACACCTGTACACCCTTTGACATGAATATAAACAAATAGTACAATTCAAACACAAGACTGTTCTCTTGTTTTGCTTTTGTTTATCTATGTTCGCACAAAATGACAGCATTTTCTGTTTACTCATTACAGAACATATGATTCATTTGCTAATGTGTGCAAAGCTTTTGCATTTCCACAATTAAGGTTTTTGCCAACTGACTGCACAGAAGGCTCAACATATGATTTGTTCAACAAATGAATACAAAATTCTGGAACAAATAAACCAACTCTTTTCACAAAGAGCTGGTCATAGCTAGGGAAATAAAGGTGTGTTTTATGGGGAAGAATAAATATTAAGTATTGTATTCGATGACTGTACACTGGATGTAACATGTTGAAGGCGAACCTGGATCGACAACGTTCAA